TTGATACGGATAAGCCTTTAATGTAGCTCTTACAGAGAGACTTGAAACTAAGCCAAGAGATGCTTTGAAGGTATGCATAAGTAGTGGGGAAATGGAGAACTGGAAAATGGGTTGCCTACTTCAAAGAGATGCCAGGGCATCCTCGGCTTATGGCCCTTCAAAAGTGCGCAAAGAAGGGTTTACGCCTAGATTGATTGTTAACAATAAGCCTATTGTTATGCTTAAAATCTTACGTTTTTTAGGCAAAGAATTCATAAAGTGACAGAATTGTGGCAATTTTCGTTGTCAAATTCGTATAATTTTGTAAAAATAAAGTTTCGGCATAGAATTTCGGTGGAAGAATTACTAGTAAGTTTTGAATTGGTATGTATGTACCTTGAAATAACATTCATAGAGTGTTATGCAAATTAAGTTGAGTATAGCCTCCATGCTAAGACTTGTTAATCTATCCATGAATAGTCATCACTGCATCTTCGACGAAAAGTTGTATTAACAGTCGCCAGCATTTACAATGGGTTCTTGATTGGTCCCAATTTTGGCGAACAACCACATAGGAAAGTTTGAGGTACGCTTGATGCGAGAGGTGAATCTGATCCTCACCTTGTTTGTTGGATGATCATTTTGTCATTTGGAAATAGGGCGAGGACAGTTTGCCGCTATTAAGGTCATAATGGGATTAGAAGAGAAAAGGAAATTACCTTTTTGCATGTTGTGTTAATTTAGGCAGAGATGTTTATAGTAAACCAGCACATGTTAGTTTTGACCTTAATTTTCTTTTTAACATTTATGGCTGTTAGGACTACTTCATCTGAATGAAAGGGTCTGGACGAAATTTCAACAAGTCAGGTCAAACTGTTTCAATAAACTCTTTCTTTTCCGCTATTTGGCTGCTTGCCACCAGCCATCTTGCCTCGGAAACGAGGTGACACCCCTTCTGATGGGTCGATATTTTTGCTGTTTCCACGAGTACCACTGTCACCACGATCCGCAAAGAGGGTCGGCGACGAGCTCATTCTTTCAATACGACTCAGCTCATCTGCCCACTTGTCGTCAAACCGCCGGGTCTGAAGCAAGTCGAATCAGTTTGGCGGCAATGTTGTCCATTTTGACCGACGGCATCTCCAGACGCTTTTGGTAGGCGCCAAGCCGCCGGCGCGCAGATGATGGTTGAAAAGGAGGTGGGGGGGGGGGCTGACGGCTGCAGCAGTCTGGTAGTCAGGCTGGTGTTTGTGTCGTCAGGTCAACAATCGACCTCTGCGCTGCCTCGAGACGACTGAACCTTTTGTCTCTGGCGCTTTGTCGCTCTATTGTTCACTTGACACTCGGTCTGGGCCGACTCGACCAACTCGGTACCGGTTGGTGGAGCACAGCAGGCCTGCTCATCAACTTTCACACCCCGCGCCT